CCACACAGGAGAGTCGACAATAATACGGAGAAGAAAAAAAAACACGACTCCAGCGACGAGCCGACCAGCTGCGACAGCCAGAGTTCGACGAGTGGCATCAGCCAGTACCAGCAGGGGGAGGGCCCGAAGGCCAAGAACAGCCGCGCGGATCCTGCACAGGAGAGACGGCTGGAGACCCAGAAAGTCAAGGCCCAGGGCGGCTCGCTGGCGTTCGTGGCGAAGCATCGGGGGCCTTGTCGGGCTACTTCCTGGCGCTGGTGCATCGGAAACTGAGCCACGGGCGCCTCTCGGAGTCCCAGGTGCTGCGTCAGGCATCGGTGTCCGGCTGGGCGCAGACACGCACTGGCCTCACCGAGCTCCGGGACCTCAGCGCCGACGCTGGGCCTGTTCATGGATTTGTTCAACACGGGGGACTTGGACACCGTGATTGACGTGCTGACGCAGCGCGCCGTCGCGATCCAGCAGGCGAAGACGAAGGGCGGCTCCTGTGACAAGGCGAAGGCCGTGGAGCTGCTGACGGGCACGGGCGGAGGAGTCGCCGCTGGGGGGCTCCTGGAGCTCGCCATGAGACGACGTGGCGGATGGCGCGGCAGCGGTGGCTGCGCCGCGGGGGCCGGGAGTGTCCTCTTGCTACTGTCGTGGTCGGTCTCTGCGGCTGGCCGTGCTGCGCGGGCGGCCAACATGGAGCTCTCCAAAGTACGGGCGCGCGCACTGGGGCGCAGTTTGGGTTTTGGGCGACATGTGCACCGCGGCGGTTGACGAGCTCTAGGGGCCCGCGGCCGACTACAACGCGCTGCCGGCGCAGCTTTAAGGACGTGCTCGAGGGCGCATGCTCAAGGGCGTCTATCGCGTCTTCGAGGCCGAGTTCATTGGCTTGGCCTGAGGCGGCCTCAATTCAGGAGTTCTTGCGCCACTCCGACGGCTGCGAGCCGACGCAGTGCATCGCGGAGCCTCTCGGTGAGCGCGGTGGAGCCCCTTGCCGCGTTGCCGTCGTGACCTGGCGGGCTTGCTGGACGGGCGCTTCCCGGGACTGGCGGATCGGGTTCGTCACCCGCGCCCGCTGCTCCTAAGCGCAGACCAGAGGCCTGCCAGATTGAAGAGACCTCGCACGCTGGCGGGGCCCGCCTACCCCGAGTTCGCGGCGCGCAACGTGTCGGCGGGGCCGCAAGGCTACGGTGCCAAGTCTTCTAAGAAGGGGCTCCGTCGGCATCGCGGCATGCTGCTGGTGGCGGGGGCCTGCGGCACTTCGGCGCGAAGAAGAGTGACGCGGAGAAGCGGGTGATCTCGGACTTTGCCGTGAACCAGCTGCTGGGCCCCACGTAGCGACCACGGCCGACCTTCGCCTGCCCGCCGAGGCTGCGCGTCGCCAACACGGGTGCGCGCGCGAAGCTTCGGAAGCGCGGCTTGCGGCGCAATTTCCACCAGTTGGCGATCGGGAAGAGCTGGCGGAAGTGCATGGCCCACCCACCTGTGCCCGACCCTCGGGGAATGGGGCCGCCGCTGCATCCCATTCGCCGCCCCGCGCCCATGGGCTTCGGGCCATCCGCAGGGTTGGCGCAGGCTGTCTCGGGCACCGCGCCCCTCATGGCTGGGCTGCCCCAGGGCCGCCGCGTGGCCTTCTACAAGCCCTGCGCGACCGAGATGCCTTTGCGGAGCTCGGTCCTAGATGACCTTTGGGCCCTTGACGAGCGCCCAGCGGGCGACAGAGCCCGCGGCTCGGCCGCTTTCTGGATGGGCCGAATCCCCGCGCACCGCGGCAAGTCCATCAATGGCGCCCAGGGCGACTTCCAGGGCGCCGAGGTTACCCGACGCAGCACTGGCTGGGCACTGCACGCCGGCGGCGGCTCGACCTGTTCGCTGCCTCGCTAAGCTTGCTGGGCCAGCAGGCGACCTATCGAGAGGACGTGGGGCGCCTGGTCGGGAAGCCAAGGTGCTCCGAGAGCCCCCGACCCTGCTTGCGGTCCGCCTTTTCGCGGGTCTACGTATGGCTGCAGAACCTGCCGACGAGGGGCCGCGAGCCTGTCGCCTGCCACCCGCTGGCGTGGCACGGGGCGCTGATCTCCACCCTCCTGCTGCCGTTCCCCGAGCTGGGCCTGGGCGCCGAGCGGCGCGCCCGCGTCGAGTGCGTCCGCGCGTCTCCTGGCGGGCACGGGCACGGGCGCGCCTGGGCCACCCTGCCCGAGGAGTGGTCCGACCACCGCGCACAGTGCACCGTGCTTGGCGTCGGCCTCGGGATCGACGCCGACGTCCAGGGCCGCTGTGGCCTCGCTCGGGCCACCTTGCCGCCGATGCCGCAGCGGTTCAGGGTCGTCAGGCCGCCAGTGCCGCACTGGTGTAAGGGGCCGCGTTGAAGGAGGCGCACGCGAATCTGCGGGGCATGGGGGCTCGCCGGCATCACCCCACCGACCTTGGCTGTCGCGTCCTGCGCGCGGGCGTCGATGGGCGGCTGCGGCTGAATCGGCGCTGCCGCCGCGGGGCCGCCATCGGGGCGGCCGGGGGGGGGCCGTCACGTTACCACTCCTGGTTCTCGGTGAAGAGCCCTGCGGGCGAGCCCAGCAGCTGGAGAGCAGTTCGTCAAGCGTTAGGTGCCAATCGGGTCTCCCGCCCAGCCCCGCAGTCCTTGCCCCGCTTCGAGGTGGTGCCTTGCGCACCTGCGAGCCGGTGCCACCGCGAGACGACGGCCGACGACGACGACGACGGCGACGACGACGACGATGACGACGACCGCGACGAGAGGACGTCGAGGAGGACGACGAGACGACGACGACGGTGACAGATGAGGTGATCAACCATACCTAAACGAATTGCATACATAATTGCCTTCACATTCCAGTTTCAAGAAACAGCCAAACCAACATTCAACTAACAAGAATTAATTTCCCACCCACGATTCTTTTTAAACTGTTCAATGACAAACCCACGTTTCCAATAATGAGCATTCGAAACACAGAATGTTCATAAACAGCATTGCAATCCACCTCTAGTAGATGCGATGCAAATCAACCACTGGTCGTTTCCTCATTTCTTGGGGCCTGAGGGGCACCGTCGGCCCGAAAGGACGCATCAAAAACGATCTGGGGTTGAGAACGGAATCCCCGTTCCGGAGGGGCGGGGCTCGCACATTGCAACCAGCGCGACGTCCAATGCCAGGGGCCCCACCAAAGGTTTCGACTCCGTCGCAGGGCTCGCAAAGGTGTTCACGGCTCGGCCGGTCCAGTTGCGTCACAGTCGGTCCAGTTCGGTCGGTTATTGTGTCGATGCCGCGTCGTTGTGTCCTTCTAGGGTGCTTTGGTCCTGTCGGTTTCGATCGGTTTCGGTGTCTTGGTTCGGTCGATTATCTGTTTAATTGTCGCCGTGCACGGCCAGCTTCGTTTTGCCTCGCGGGGCGTTTCTCGATGGCTCATCGAGGCCAGAAAATAAGCAATATTGCCATCGTGTTTCTCTCGGCGTTCAGGATGTTTGGGCAGCGCGGAGAAATCAACAGCAGGTGGGGATCGTCTGTTCCAGGCGATCTTGCAATTTCTTCTCGCCGTGCCGTCGTGGTGGTGGTGGTCGTCGCCATCGCCCTCCCACCAAACCGTTTTTTCCCAACCAGTCCGCGGACACCTCCCAGGGTCTGTCCTCCCAGTGCAGCCGCGGTGACGGGAACCTCCAGAGAGGCCCAGCAGCAGCTGTTGCATCCTGGCGGCAGATGATCTTGAACCTCATTTTACAAGAGTGAAGAGAGCTGTATGCCGTATTGTGCACACTTTTTGCGTCGGCGGCGGGGCAGGGGAAGTCTGCGCCGCTAGCGGAAAGGCCTGAAGGGGGGGTGCTTTTATGGCGAAGTGTGCCACCATGCAAGAGGAGGAACAGGAGGAGGAGACGGAGACGGAGACGGAGGAGGAGGAGGAGGAGGAGGAGGAGGAGGAGACGGAGACGGAGACGGAGGAGCAGGAGGAGGAGGAGGAGGAGGAGGAGGAAAAGGGCGCGGCCGAAAGAGGGGGCGAAAGAAGCGAGCCGCTCAGGGGGACGGGTCACGCCCCGAGAGTCTGGCGCGGCCGGCCCCGCCGGCGGGCCCGCCGCGGATGCTGCATCGGCGGGCCTGGCGGCGGGGCCCAGTGCGGGGAATGGAGCATCCCAGGCGTCAGGAAGTAAAACGAGCCGCATCGTGCACACGGGAAGCATGGGGAGACCAGACGGGAGAGTACCCGAGAGAACATACGGGAGACCGTGCGCAGGACGGGAAAGACAACATGTCAGCTTGTGGTGAAGAAGCGCCAGTGACGCCCCCCTATCGCCTTTTTGTTCCGCTGGCTCGTGGTTGGACCCCGAGGCGTTCGAAACTATTCTGAGAATCGCAGGCGCCGCGCTGTAATATCACAAATATGGGTCCCTCATAGCGGTGGCAACGAGGATCGTGTACCTCCGAGGCGATGTGTGCTTCCTCCCCCTCAGGCTAGTCATTATGGTGCTCGCAGCCGTCGTTGTCCCCGCAGTCGATGCCGTCGTCGTCTGAAGCGGCCCTGCGCAGAGCCCCCTCCTGTCCTTCCATGGGCCATCCGCAGCGCGTAATCGTCTTCTCCGTCGTCGTCGTCGGTCGGTCGGTCGGTCGGTCGTCGTTGTCGTCATTGTTGTTGTCGTCTCGTCCTCCATGGCGGTGTCCGGCGGCCCTGCGAAGATCCCCCTCGTAGAGCATCCGCACCGCCTCGTGGTCGTCGTCCGTCGACGCCGTCGCCGTCGTCGTGCCCGCAGGCACACTGCACACTGCGAGCGCCCACGAGTTGGACGCTTTCTCCCCTACCATCCCGTACAAGACTCTTTGAATTCCTCCGAGGGGTCGTGTGCACTCGCTGCGGCCCTTGTCCTCGTCCGAGCAGGCTACCGCTGTGCTCGCAGGCTCTATTAGTGCGGCGGGGTAAAAAGGATGAGGAGGGGGAGGAAGAGGAGCCCCCGCCGCCTACCTTCTTTGCCGCTCCTCCCCCCTTCCGCCACTTGCGGTCTGTACTTGCTCATGTTGGCCCCGCCCGCCAGCTGTAGCGGAGCCGCTGGCGTCGCGCGTGCCGGCCTCCTGTTGGCGGCTGGGCGCCGGTGCTAATAACAGCTGCGGTCGCAGTAGTGCCTCGTCGAGCCCCCACCCCTACCCGCGCAGCTTGCCCGAGATCGAAAACGCTGTGTCATCACGTAGCGTTGCACCCAGCGTGCTCTGGGTGAATCCCAAGCTGAAGCTACGGGGGACCCTACGGAATGCCATACGGAGCGCTCGTGGCGTCCCCCCGCACCGTGGCCATCCCGGGGTCGTGCGGGGCCGGTCCGGGGCCATGCTTTCCGAAACCGGAGCCGTGCTGTTCGGCACTGGGGCCAGATTGGGGCGACAGAAGGAAGTCGATTACACGTAAGAGTGACCCTTCGCCGGAGTGACCTTTGGTGCGGGCTCAGCGGGGCCCCTCGATCGCAGAACGCGATGCGATAGTAGCGTCTTGCGCGCTTGTGTTTTGTCCCCGCGCGGCCCCCCAAAAGCCGCGCACCAAAGGTCACTCCAGCCCAGGGTCACTCTAGCGTGTAGCCGAGAAAGGTACCCAAGTCGTGCTCGAAATTGCGATTGAACGCGTAGTGCGACGGGCATCCGTGCTCAAAATCAGACATTACATATTAGTTCCGGACCAAAGGTCGCGGCTTTGGGTCACACTCTGGTATTTTTATGGGCACGGTTTCAGCCATCTATAACTACCCCGGTGATGGAGATGAGGCTACGTCATGGTCGTGGTGGGGTCGTGCTCATCGCGGTCGTCGTGGTCGTGGTCGTGGTCGTCTGGGTCGTGGTCGTCTGGGTCGTAATCGTGGTCGTCGTGGTCGTCGTGGTCGTGGTCGTGGTCGTCGGGGTCGTGGTCGTCGTCGTCGTTGTCGTGGTCGTGGTCGTCGTGGTCGTCGTCGTAGTGGTCGTCGTCGTCGTCGTCGTGGTCGTCGTGGTCGTCGTGGTCGTCGTGGTCGTCGTGGTCGTCGTGGTTGTCGTTGTTGTCGTCGTCGTCGTGGTTGTCGCGGCCGTCATGTTCTTCTTCGTCGTCGTCGTCGTCGTCGACGCCGTGGTGGTCGATGCCGACGCGGCCTCTGGCCTTCGCCGCGTGAGAGCGCGCGCGCCTCCGGGCCCCCAGAGGCGGCAGTCCAAGGCGCCCAGCCAGAAGTCGCCGCTCCTGCGCGGCGGGGGCGAGGAGGACCGCGCGCCCATGGAGGAGGAGGAGGAGGAGGAGGAGGAGGAGGAGGAGGAGGAGGAGGAGGAGGAGGAGGAGGAGGAGGAGGCGGCGCGAGGCAGAACGGCCAGCGCCTTGTTCGGTGCAGATGTGTGCAACGCGCTGAGCGGCTGGTCAGCTGAGTTCTCGCCCCTCGCCGCAACGCCCTGCGCCCTGCCTCCTCCCCCCCTGCCACACCACTGCGCTCTTTCCTTGCAGATGTTCGTAGTAGCACGACCCACCGAACCACCCCAACCCAACCCAAAAGCCCCCGATTGGCCCTCCATTTCCAGTGGGGGGGGGGGTCGCGGAACATTGGAAAACAAATAGGAAGCCCATACCGCCCCCCCCATCCCGAAATTCGGGTCTTCGGGTTGGGTTGGGGTGGCTTGGTAGGTAGTCAAGGAGGACCGCCGGATGCCGCCCGCGCCGCGCCGCGCCGCGCCACATCGACGACGTCGACCACCACGACGACGACGACGGCGACGACGACGACGGCGACGACAGCGACGACGGCCACGACGGCCACGACGAACACGACGGCCAAGACGACCACCACCACACCACGACGACCACGACGACCACGACGACGACGACGACGACGACGAGGACGACGACGACGACGACGGCGACGGCGACGGCGACGGCGACGGCGACGGCGACGGCCACGGCGACGGCGACGACGACGTCCACGACCACGACGACCACGGCCGCGAACGCGACGAGCGCGACCCCACCACGACCATAAGGCAGCCTCGTCGGATGCCGCCGCCCGCGCCGCGCAGCGCCCGGCTCGGGCGGGCGTTCAGCCTCTCCACAGGAGGTCCGCGCGGAGTATCTTCGAGCGGCGCTGGGGCTCCTCGCTTCGGTAGCACATCGCATTCCGCCAGCATCGCAGAGCGGATATCGCTCGGAAAACGATGGGGTGGGCCCAGGTTGTCAGGGAGAGTCTCGTTCTGGATTCCGAGGTGAATTTCGGATTGCGGATTTTGTTGGCCAGGAATGAAGACCAAGCAAACATCCACGCGAAGTTCACTTCGTTTTTCGCTCGCCGCTTCGTGCAGAAATCCACGCAGATATTCGCTGCAGCACGTCTGCAAGGCTGGTGCAATGATAAATCATGGGGGCCTTGTATACCCTCTTGATTACGTCTCGAGCGTCGACTAGCGTCGCTTCGCGTCTGGGTGTCGATGAGACAGCGCCGACTTAGCGTCGGCGAGCGTCGATTCAGCGTCGATTTAGCGCCGAGCTAGCGCCGATTTAGCGCCGATTTGGCGTCGATTAGCGTCGACTAGCGTCGGTAGCGTCGACTAGCGTCGATTCGCATCGACACGATGGTATAGCAGGCTCCCTTGGGTTGCCACAGAAAGGTCCGCGCGGAATCTCCTGGAGCGGCGCTGGGGCCCCTGGCGGCGCCTCTGGCGCCGCCCGCGGCGCGCTCCGCGCGCCAGGCGGGGGGGGTCCAACGCCGGTCCAAGACATCCGCGCGGACCTCCAGAAGCTGATGCTTGTGTCTTGCTCCTCACGGTAGAGGTCTGCAGGAAAGCGGCCCGAAAGGGCCGCCACCCCCTGGGGGCCCTGGAGGCGCAGGAGAGGTGCCCCACATCCCGTGTCCCCATCCACTGCCCCTGGCGGCGCCTCTGGCGCCGCCCGTGGTGCGCTCCGCGCGCCAGGCGGGGGGGTCCAGCGCCGGTCCAAGACATCCGCGCGACCCTCCGAGAGTGTTTACGTTTGGGTCACTGTGGTGCTCCTCATGGAGAGGCTGCCGTGATGCAAGTGGGCTTTTGGGCTTAGCAAGCGAAGTCGATGCCGCTGCTCGTTCTGGAGGCCTCCCTTTTGGCCACAGCTGGTTTTCGTTGAAATCCTGGTGAGAAAACACCACGGGGGAGGTCCGAGGAGTCGCGGTATCCGTACCCGTTTTTGTTTGTTCCCCCGGCAAGTCGGTTTTCGTGGTGCAAGTGGATTTTCGTAGTTCACCCAGGGGAAAGGGTCGGGACTTCTGGGGCCTCCGCATTGAACCAAAGTAGCAAGGAAAGCGTGCGTTCTGCGGGCGCTTGGAGGGGGGGTCCGAAACCGGCCGCCCCCCCCTTCCCACCCCGGTTCAAGGGGGAGGGGGATGGTCGAACATCCCCCCCGCGTCCAGAGGGGTGGTTTCGAATCGAACACCCCCAATCGAACACCCCCACTGGGCCTGCGCTGGCGCAAGCGTGGGCGTGGGCCTGGGCCTGGGCCTGGGCCTGGGCCTGGGCCTGGGCGTGGGCGTGGTCGTGGGCGTGGGCGTGGGCGTGGGCGTGGGTGTGGGCGTGGTCATGTGGTCATGGGCGTGGGTGTTGGCGTGGGCGTGGGCGCGGATTTGGGCGTGGGCGTGCGTGTGAGCGTTGGCGTTGGCGTTGGCGCCGCGTGGGCGTGGGCGTGGTGCGCGGGCGCGCGCGGGGGAGTGGGCGTGCGAGTGAGCCTTGGTGGGCGTGGGCGTGGGCGTGGGCGTGGGCGCGGGCGTGGGCGTGGGCGTGGGCGTGGGTGTGGGCGTGGGCGCGGGTGTGGTCGTGGGCGTGCGGGCCTGGGCCTGGGTGTGGGCGTGGGCGTGGGCGTGGGTGTGGGCGTGGGCGTGGGTGTGGGTGTCGGCGCCGCCAGCCGCCTGTCGCCGCCAGCGCTGTCACGCCGGGGCTGGCGCGGGGGGGGGGGCGGGGTTCGGGGAGGGGGTGGGAGGGGGGAGGGGAGCCCCCCTGGTTCTGTTCGACGGCGCCGAATGTTGGCCCCCTCCCTCCCTTTCCCCCCCTTCGAACGCGCCGCCGAATGTTTTCAAGGCAGGCGCCCGTGAAACGCACTCCCACAATGCAAGGTGTCGGATCTCAAGTGCCTCCCCCTTGCAATTCGCCCCCCTTGGCGCGCTCCGCGCGCCAGTGAGGGAGGCCCAGCGCCGATCCAGAGTCCGCGCGGACACTTCAAAGTGCATAATTGTGCAGTGCGTTCTGCGGGGTCGGGCAGGGGCACAGATCGAGGGGGCGCAGACCGATGCGCCCCGGGAAGCCAGAGTGGCGACCAGGGGTCCAGTTCGTGAACGGGCTCGGGCACTCGCGCGACCGCGCGAGGCCGAGCGAAGAGACGCCCGAACCCTACCTCCCCGTCCTGGCCTTGGCCTGCAGACAAGCCCAGTCCAGCACCACGTAGCCGTGAGGGCCCAGTCCAGCCCCTGCTAGTGCAGGCAGTCGAGTCCAGGCCCAGGCACAGTCCAGCACCCGCCGCGCGCGCGAAGTCCTCGCTCTGCCGCCGCCGCTGCCGCCGCCGTCGCGAGATCGCTGGCTCAGGTAGCCACATCACACATACCGACACAGTGACATCTACACACACAACACACCCCATTTCGATCCATGGCGGACGATGGTGCCGGCTCGCCTCCCTCGACAGAGCCCCCCCCGGCATTGACGCCGGCTGCAGCCAGCGCAGGCGGGCACAGCGCCGCCGCCCCGCCAGCACCGGGCGCCGTCGGCGTGGCGGCCGCACAGCCGGCCTCCGTCCAGCCACAGCGCCCGGCCAAGCCTCTGGCGGCGCGCCTGGGCCAGCTGGAGTACCCAACAAATGTGAGCAGCGGCGTCGTGAGCCTGCTGGGAGGAGCGTTTTCGTTCATGTGCGTGGTCAGGATGGACGGCTTCGATCACTGGTCTCGCGTGTTCGACTTCTCCCTGGAGGCCGACGACGACAGCATCACGGCAGGGGCCATCGGGCTCACCCAGGATCTGCATTTCACTATCTTCCGGGGCAGAAAGCCTTTCTCCACGTGCGTGAGGAATTTCTTCGAACCGGGGCGTGAGTTCACTATGATGTGTACGGTCTCGGCGTCGGGACACATGAGGGTGTTCAAGAACGGCGCGCTCGTGGGCGAGAACCCACACGGGATGGTCCCGCTGCCGTCCCCGCGGCCGCGCATGATCGTAGGCGGCCACTTCAAGTTCCGAGACCAGGCCTTCCGCGGCAGCCTGCGGGACGTGAAGGTCTGGGACCAGGAAGTATCGTGGCTCGACGCCGTGCGAGGCTGAGCCCGCGGGCTGAGCCTGTGCCAGAAGCCAATTGCAGACAGCAGGTGCCATGTGTGACGCCTTCGCCATCCTTGCCACTCTTCCTCCCCGCCTCGCTCGTGGCCCTGCGGGCATCCGCCAGGCTCCCTTCCGTTCCTCCAGCGCGTTGGTGGCGCACACAAGAGGGCGGGTTGGGGGTCTGAGGGCTCCAAGAAAAATGTGTCTTAGAAGGCGGGAGGAATTCCAAGAAGCCCTCTGCATTCTCAGAATCCCACCCTCGCCCTTCCCTCTAGCGCTCGCCGCCAAGCATGGCTGAGGTACCTCCGCACAGTCTTCGTGGCCGTTGGTACTGGCCACTTGCTCACCAAGTCTTCTCCTGTGCGCTCTCTGTCGTTTGCTGGCCCAGAATGTGGCGCCATAGCGTTGCGACTGCAGGTGGGTGTTTTAACGAGCTGACTGGATTGCAGGTAGGTGTTTTAACAGGTAACTGGTGATCATTATGTTCAAGAGCTCTCCTGAAAAAGTTTGACTGTTAGACATATCCGTACGAGAAACGATCCAGTGTCCTACAGGGGAGTGAAGTCGTACCTCTATGCTGGCAGAGAACACTGTAGAGATGCTTTCAGCGAGCCGCAAAGCCTCTCAGGCAAATCATGAGACAAGGCCAACAGGCTACCAAACGATTTGAAGCGCAACGCATGTGTCACAGAGTAAATCGTGTGGCCAACTATTGTAGGCTTGCAGCCGAGCTCGCGTTCTCATTCGGGCCGCAAGAACGTTTGTTTCGCCGCTTTCTGCCTCTGGGGGCGCTCGCCGGGCCCCGGGACCGCCAAAGAGACGACTCGCCGACCCGCCGTGAAACATTGGCCCTGGGGACTTGCATTGAGCAACAGGCAAGGCATCGAGTCGCAGGTACCCGCCCCTTTGCCGGCGCCGCTCCTGGCGCGCTCCGCGCGCCAGTGTGAGAGGTCCAGGGCCGGTCCAAGAAATCCGCGCAGATCCTCGAAATTGTATACTGATGCAGTTTGTTCTCCCTTCTAGAGGCAGGGGCCAGGCAGGGGCATCGAGGGGACGCAGACCGATGCGCTCCCAGGAAGCCAGAATGGCGACCAGGGATCCAGTTCGTGAACGGGCTCGGGCACTCACGCGATCGCGCGAGGCTGCGCGAATAGACGCCCGAACCCTACCTCCCCGTCCTGGCCCTAACCTGCAGGCAAGCCCAGTCCAGCACCACGTAGCCGTGAGGGCCCAGTCCAGCCCCTGCTAGTGCAGGCAGTCAGGTCCATGCCCAGGCCCAGTCCAGCACCCGCCGCCGCGCGCGAGTTCCCCGCTCTGCCGCCGCCGCCGCCGCCGCCGCCGCCGCCGCGGCCGCCGTCGTCGTCGTCGTCGTCGTCGTCGTCGTCGTCGTCGTCGTCGTCGTCGTCGTCGTCGTCGTCGTCGTCGGCGGCGGCGGCGGCGGCGGCGGCGGCGGCGGCGGCGGCGGCGGCGGCGACGGCGGCGGCGGCCTGGCGGCATGGCGGCGGCGGCAGCGGCGGAGTGGCGGCATGGCGGCATGGCGGCGGCGGCGTCTCCTCGTCGCCACCGTTTCCGTCGTCGTCGTTCGCGGACTCGCCGCCGTCGGCGTCGCAGCTTCGTCGCCGCCGTCCGCCCCGTGGCCGCGAGGAGGCCTTCCCGCGGGGGCCCGAAGAGGCCCGCGGTAGCAGGTCGGAGTCGGCCTCGAACCAGGCGCGGGCCCGCCGCCGTTCGCCGCCCGCCCGCGTCATCAGCGCCGTGCGCCGCCGCTGTCGTGCGCCGTTCGCCGGCGCGGCCTCGCTGCCGTCCGCGTCGTCGTCGTCGTCGTCGTTCGCCACCGCCGCCGTCGCCGTCGTCCTCGTTCGCCGCCACTCGCTGTCGTCGTTCGCTGTCGTCGTCGTCGTTGGTCGTCGTGGTCGTGGCTATTTAGGCTCAAGTGCTTCTTGAGCGGCACGGTGCGCCATCGAGCGTATCCTGAGCCTCCCTGTGCTTCTTCTTTTTTCCGCGCACTCTGCACACTCAGTGCGCTCGATGGCGAGGCGGGCGATTCGCGACCTTCATCGGGAGATTGCACTGGTACGCGAAGAGGTGGGCTGCCTGCAAGATGAAGCCTGCATGTCCCTTTAGACTCGTTTGGTCCTGGACCAGGAAATCCCCTGAGGTCCCGAAGCCCAAGACCGAGCGCATCGTCAACGAAGTCCAGAGCGGTGCCTTTCCTGCCGCCGTGGTCCCTCCTGCCTGCCGACCTGCCCGAAGCCTCCCGCGCGGCACCGCTACGGCCTTGCCTCGAGAAGCTGGTGCCCAATATCCAGGCGGCGTTCGGCGGCGTGAAGCGTTGGACCGATCCCCCTTGGGTCGGTGCTCGAGCCTGGACGTGCGCAAAGACCTGGTGACCCGGCCAAGCGAAACCCTGGACTCCCAGGAGATATTCCCTGAGATGGGCGAGCCCTTCTCAAACCATTTGTGGGGGCCTGGCTTCTGCAGCGTTTCTGGACGGCGCTCGGGGCGAAACCAGAGAGAGAGAGAGAGAGCGGCTAGCGACGAGGACGACCCCGAGCCGATGCAGGCGGTCGCAGTTGCTGCGCCAGAGCCCGCTGCGTGTCCCACGGCAGCAGACCACCACTTATATGTCCGACATGGTACGCGTGAACTGAAGGATTTGAACACATGCGTAGTGCACATCCAAAGACATGGTTTGAGCTCGCCTTTCGCGGCGATAGAAGGCCCCGGGGACCCCAGAGACGACTGGCGCTGCCATTCACGGTGCGTAAGCGACGGCCCCGTGAAAGCATTGGCGTCGCCGATGGATCCAGAGGACGTTGTGATGGCTCACGGGCTTGGCTACACTGCGGCCATGGATGGGGCGAGCCCCGTGCCCGACAGCTTGATGAGTGGCGTGCCCGAGGACTCCCTTACCTACGGTGTGTTGCCCGTGGTCCGATCTCGTCCGCCTGGCCGACTAGCAGACCTGCCCGGCGATAGCGACGGTGGCCCACCGCCACCCAGATCTTTCCCCATTGGGATGCTGCTCTCCGGCCTCCGGTGTCGACTGCTTCGCAGGGCGTGGCCGGCCAGCTGGAGCAGGAGTTCGAAAGATCGCAAGGCCGACCTGAAGCCGATCGCGACCACACATGTTTCAACATGAACGAGGCGGCGAGGCCGAGGTTGAAAAACATGTGGCGGCGAACATGAACATGTTGAAGGTTGTTCACCCCTTAGTTGTTCGCCGCCGCCTTCAACATGAACAAGTCGGCGCCGCCACACATTTTTCAACATGAACAAGGTGGCGGCGAACAACTAAGAGGCGGAGGTCGTCGTACAAGACGCCGGCTACACCCTGGCCTAGATCAGTGCCACGCTGGACGGAACCAAGCAGAAGCTGGTCATCGCCAACGTTCGTCAGAATTTTGGATGCGGGAATGGTGAACGCGGTGCTCTGCGGATTGATCTCGGAGGCCATGTCGGTCGCCCAGCAGTTCGGGAAAATACCCATCTGGCAGAGGCGGCGCGTTGGCGCGAGGCGAAAGCATTGTGCGGTGCTCGCTGCCTTGAGATTGGTTTCGCCTTCTTCCCACTTTGCGGCTGTATCCCCGGGCTTCCCTGGTATAGTGTAATTGCTCCAGTGGTACAGTCAGACTGTCGGGATCCGCCCTCGGGATATTTGCCTCGCTGAGAAACACAGCTCAGAGGTGCTCATGGCGACAGCGTCGATGCCGACTTGGAGCCATCGCCTTACCTGTGCCCACAGTTAACTGTACGTTCTCCTCGCGTTTGAAGCGTCAGGAGGGAAACAAACACACAGACAAAATTAATCGTCGAGTCCCAGGAAAATATGGGAAACTATGGGAAGTGGGGGGAAAGAAAAAAGCCGTGAACATGTGGTGAAATTGGGGGAATCCTTTTATTTGTGTGTATTTATTTGTGTGTCTCAGGGCCCCTTCGAATCGGTCGATGTTGAACGACCTGACGTTTCGGAGACGGCCCGTCGTGCAAGGTCGGCAGGGCCGCCTGGGGAGCGGCACCACCGCCTTGCGCCTTTCCAGCGCGGGGAGGCCGGGCGCAGAGCGGCTTCCGCCCAGCCTCCTGGGTCGACAGTCGTCGTCGGCTTCGTGGTCGTCGTCCTCCTCCTCCTCCTCCTCCTCCTCCTCCTCCTCCTCCTCGTCGACGCCACACGAGCCCGCGGTCGGGATGCCTCGAGGGGGAGGGGGCGTCGCGCCGCCGGGAGGACCCTCCCCGGCGCCTCGCGCTGGCTGGAGCCCTCCCCGCGGCGTCGGGGAGCCAGCGGCGAAGTACAGGCACGGCACGAGCCTGCCGTGCAGTGCTGCCCCCCCCGGCCGTGGCGGTGACGCGTCTGCGGTTGGGGGTGGGGGGCGTCGGGCACTATGGGTCGCCGTTGTGGTTCGTCGTCGTCGGTCCAGCCGACGCGGTCGTTGTGGCTCGTTGCGGCTCATCGTCGTCGTCGTCATACCATCCACGCTTTCCTCCCGTGGTCCGTCCACGCGTGCTGGCGAAAAGGTCCGTCCGTTCTGGCAGGCTGTCCTCCCATTGATCACCGTCCTCCTCTTCCCCCCCGCGCCCTCTCCGAGCCACGAGCGAGGGAGTGCGCGTGCCAACCTCTGACATCGCCCACCTGCCGTGCCTGTTCCGCGGACGGCCCCTGCACATCGCCACCAGCGACGTCGGAGCGGGGACGCCTGCCCAGAGAGCCGCCCCGCCCCGCCCTCCCTCCGCTTCTCAGCCCGCTCCTCCGCTTCTCTCCCGCCCCCCCTCCCGCACCTTGAGAGGGCCACTGCGGCCCCGCTCGTGCGCGTCCGCGCAGGCCTTCCCTTTCCTCCTCCCTTCCCGTCCCCCTCGGGAACGTCGGCGTGTGTTGGCGGACGCTGGCCGCGCCATCGCATCGAGCGCAGCGCACGGATGCGATCCTCTCTTTCCTCTCTTTCTGGGGTGTCGGGCGGTGGTGGATAGGTCGCCCCGTCCCTCCCTGCCTTTCTTTTCCTATTTCTTGCGCCCATCGACGTCTCCGTCTTCCCTGTTGCGCCGGATGAGGAGGAGGAGGAGGAGGAGGAGGAGGAGGAGGAGGAGGAGGAGGAGGAGGAGGGGAGGAGAAGGGAGGAGAAGGGGAGGAGGAGGAGGAGGAGGAGGAGAGGAGGAGGAGGAGGAGGAGGAGGAGGAGGAGGAGGAGGAGGAGGAGGAGGAGGAGGAGGAGGGAGGAGGAGGAGAGGAGGAGGGAGGAGGAGGAGGAGGAGGAGGGGGGGCTCGAGGCCCCCCCTCCCTCCCCGTCTTCCCTGGGCGCCCTGTCGCTCGGTCCGCCGCTCAAGGCGCGGCTCCAGGGTCAGGGCTCCGCGGCCGCGGCAGGGCGGGGGGGGTCCACCGCCGCCCTGCTTTCGTGCACCGCAGGAGAACAAAAAAAGCAAGGCGGACGCCAGCGTGGGCCCTCTCGGGGCTTCTCTCTCTCCCTCCCCTCCCTCCTCCTCCCCTCCTCTCCTCCCTCTCCTCTCCTCCCCCCTCCTCCTCCTCCCTCCCCCTCCCTCCTCCCTCCTCATCCCTCCCTCCCCTCCTCTCTCCCTCCCTCTCTCTCCTCCCTCCCCTCCTCTCCCCTCCTCTCCTCCCCTCCCCCTCCCTCCCCCCCTCCCCTCTCCCCCCCCTCCCTGCCCCCTCCCCTCTCCTCCCACCTCTCTTCCTCCTGCGAGAGCGAATGTCTCGCAGTTCAGGTTGGTCTGTGATTGTCTTGTCACTCTTCGCATCGCGATGGGGCCAACTCCGATTCCGACTCCTCTCCTCCTGCCCTCAGGGCCCCGTCTTCCCTCGCTCCTCCTGTTTCTCCCCGCCCCTCCCTGCACTCCCGTCGCCCTCCGCGCGCGCGTCCAAGAGCGCGGCAGGCCGCGTCCCCCAGCGAGTCGAGCGAGTCGGGACCCCCCCCGGCGGGGCATGGCTGGGGGCCTGCTTGCTTGGAGAGGGCGAGAGGGAGGAGGGGCAGGAGGGGGAAGGGGGAAGAGGGTCTTCGGCGGCGAGCGAGTGGGGGAAATGAGAAGGAGGAGGCCTTCTCAGAAGGCGGCGGGACCTCTCAGAAGCTCTCGTGCTTTCTGAGAAGCTGTTGCGTCTTGGGATGAGGCTTGGACAACTGCTCAGAAGGCCCGTGGACCTCCGAGCCTTCTGGGGGGGCCTCTTCCTTCTCACTTCTCCCTCGCTCGCCGCCGAGGTATGGGACGAGGAGGGGGAGGCAGGGAAGAGCAGTAGGAGGGGGTTGGAAGAGAGGGAGGGGGGAGGAGGAGGGGGGAAGAGAGGAGGAGGATGCCAGCTGTGTGATGTGCTAGGGGAACTCGCCCCGCCGAGCATGAAGTTGTCAACTCCACTGCTCGCGCAGTCCTCCCACCCACCCACCCGGAACTTGGTTCGCGATGGTTTGCAACATCCATGTGGCGGCGATTGCGATGAGTGCTTGGTGGTGGCTGGTGCATCTCTGCGGCCGCGCTGGCCCGCGCATGCTCGCGCGCGCAGCGGCCGGCTAGTTTGGCGCGACCGACGCGGCCGCGGTGGCGCTGACCGCTGGGCAGTTCCCAGCTCGCAGTTCAGTGCGTGTTTGCGACTTGGGCGGGCGCGGTATCACGGCAATGTCGACAAAGGAAGACGCGATGCTGATGGTAGCGATGCTGGTGACGGTGGTGACAACGACGACGACAAGGCCAGTGACGGCGCCGATGGTGATCACGCCAGCGACGATGACGGCGTCCTCGCGTCGGTGATGAAGATTTTGGGAGGGGTTCGACATGCGCGCGCGGCAGACGCGCGAGGGTGGCCCGCGCGGTATTATTTGACATTGACCGTGCCCCCCAGCACGCGCGCCAGGACGTTCGAATGATTTCGACGTGCGGCGCGAGAGACCCGTTTCACATAATTCAATATACTTGTTGCAGAACTCGTGGTTTGTCTTGAGAATTCACAGGAAAGCGAGCGCAGACGTTTTTGGGAACTGATGTTGCGCAGCAGTGTTTTTGTTATAAATGTTGTCGGAAACTCGATGTTGCACTCCATACGAAGCCTACACGGCTTTTGAAGGATTTCGGGCTGCGCGCGCGACGACGAGCGCGCATGCACTTCGCCCAGTTGTTTGAAAGGGGTTCTTGCGGCAGCACGCACGCAACGACGTCCGAACGATTTCGATTTATATTTGTTGGAATTCGCAAAATCTCGGGCGCAAGCTTGTTCGAACATCCCTGTTGCGAATCCATGGGTTTTGTACTATATGTTCCGTAACATTTGCTTCTGACATCCTCACGAAATATGGAATTGTTGATGTGCGCGCGCGACGACGCGCGCGTGCGCACTTCGTCCCGTCTGTTGCAAAAGGGTTCTTGGCAAATGATGATTTGTGATGACGATTGCGCGCTCGTTGCATATGCTGCAGAGGATAATTGGGTGGTACCAGTTTAGTTGCGATCATACGGGCTCATATTTTGGATGGACAATAACAAAATCTTTTACATTGCCGCACGCTAGTTGAACGTGTTCAGTTTTGGGGAGTTGTTGTTTCAAAGGTTTTGTTGCGAACCACGTATTTTATTATGGGATACTTGATATTGACATCCTTGCGACATTCATGGTTTTTGAAAGATTTCGGCATGCGCGCGCGACGACGCGCGCGTGCGCACGTCAACCCAACAGTTGCAAAGGATGTCTGGACATTTATACACGAGTGCGCGCGCCCAGTATTTGTTGCGGGGGGCGAGGGGCGACCGATACCGGCCTGCAAGGGCGGGTATGAATTATGATTTCGGTTTGACGATGGGTCAGAATCATATTTTGCTGTAGTACGGAATTTGGTACCGTTAATTCTGGGGGGGAAAGAGAACCGAATATTTTTTGGATCCAAGACCCTATGTGGTGCCATGTTTGTGGTGCAATTCACGTGGTGCAACCCATTTTGTGCATTCTGCGTGGTGCAATATGCGTTTTGCAATCCGTTTGGTGAAACCTTCGCGGTGTCTTCTATGTTGTGAAAGCGATGTGTTGCAGTTTGAGTGGTGCAATCCAAGCGGCTCAATCTACGTAGTTCACTGTATTCGGTGCAATCTAAGTCGTGTAATTAATTTGCTGAACTTGAAGTTGTCTGCTCCATTGCTCGAGCAAACATCCCACCCTCCCACCCGCAACTTGGTCAGCAAAACTCACCAGACCGTGGCTGCAAGTACCCAGCGAAGCTTCCTAGCGAGTACCTGACGCCGACGTCGTTGAAGGAGCGCGCGAAAGTAGCTCGCACGAGCTCGTGCGACCGAAATGTTGAGCAACAAAAAAACATTGTTTTTTTTTATGTTCGGACAGCGCGAGCGGGCAAAATTTTGAAAATCCGTGCAGGTTTTTCTCGAGGACGTACGGTGCGATTCGTGTGTTTTTATGATACGCAGTGCTGAAATGCTCAAGAAACCCACATGGTTTTTGAAGATTTCGGCGCGCGCGCGCGAAGAAAAAACGAATGTGTCCCGCATGGTATTATTTGACAAGGATTATGCCCCCGGCAGGCGCGCAGCCGTTGTTGAAGAATTTCGAAGCGCAGGAAAAAGTTGTTCGCAAGAGCCCTTTTGACAGAAATGTTGAAAAAGTAGTGGGTTTCCTACGAATTCGCAAGAGCGCGCGGGGTGAATGTTTGAATTTTTTGTTTGAAAAAACATTTTTTTTTTTTTTTATGTTAAAACCGTTACGAACACTATAGTTTTGGAAGGATTTCGTATTGCGCGCGCGAATGTGTCCCGCATGGTATTATTTGACAGGGATTCGTGAAAAAGTGTTATGTTAGAAAGAAAAATGTCCCCGCATAGTGTTATCTGAAAGGGAAACGCAGGGGGGGGATACCGGCTTGGCTGGGATGGTACGAATTCAGATTTAGGATGGACATGTGGTCAGAATCATATGTGATTTACAGCACGCGCGGGGGAAGCGATAAGTTCGGGGGGGGGGTCGAATCTATTATTCTTTTAGAAAGGAGAATTAATCTTGACCGTCTTGAAGCTGTCCTCTCCGCTGCTCGTGCAAACATCCCACCCTCCCACCCGCAACTTAGTCGCAAGACCTCTTCAGACAAGACCATGACGGTAGGTACCACATGGCACTTGGCCGCGACACCGACGCCGACGACGACAGCGACGACGACGACGACGGCGCGCGCGCATGTGTCCCGCATGGTATTATTTGACACGGACAGTGGCCCTGGCAGGCGCGCGAACGTCGTTGAAGGAGCGCGCGAAAGTAGCTCGCACGAGCTCGTGCGACCGAAATGTTGAAACACAACATTGGTTTTTTTAGGTTCGGACAGCGCGAGCGGGCAAACATTTGAAAATCCGTGCAGGTTTTTTTCGAGGACGTACGGTGCGATTCGTGTGTTTTTAAGATACGCAGTGCTGAAATGCTGAAGAAACCGAATGGTTTTTGAAGATTTCGGCGCGCGCGCGAAGAAAAAACGAATGTGTCCCGCATGGCATTACTTGACAAGGATTATGCCCCTGGCAGGCGCGCAGCCGTTGTTGAAGAAGTTCGAAGCGCAGGAAAAAGTTGCTCGCAAGAGCCCTTTTGACAGAAATGTTGAACAAGTAGTGGGTTTCCTAGGAATCCGCAAGAGCGCGCGGGGTGAATGTTTGAAACTTTTGTTTAAAAAAAAAAACCATAGGGTTTTTTTTTATGTTTTTATGTTTAAATCGCTACGAACACTAAAGTTTTGGAAGGATTTCGTACTGCGCGCGCGAATGTGTCCCGCATGGTATTATTTGAAAGGGATTCGTGAAAAAGTGCTATGTTAGAAAGAAAAATGTCCCCGCATAGTGTTATTTGACAGGGAACCGCAGGGGGGGGATACCGGCCTGGCTGGGATGGCTGGAGGGGGGGGGTAGAATCTATTACTCTTTTAGAAAGGAGAATAAATGCTGCGCGCCCTATGTAGTGCAACATGTGTTGTGGTTGTTTAGTACAAGTTCAACAAACTATGCCAGGATGAAGCGAGATCGAGCTGGATTTAGCCGGATGTCGGACCAGGGTACAGTTGAGCCTCCCAGGAATTGCATCCGGATTTCCCGCCCCCCCCCCCCCCCCCCCCCCCCCCCCCACACACACACACACACACACACACACACACACACACACACACACACACACACACACACACACACACACACACACACACACTTATCGCCCCCCCCGTTACGCACAGCCCGATATGCGTCTTTCCCTGCTGCCCCAGTCTTTCACTTCTGCCCCGCCCCTCTCCGCTCTCCCATCCCCCGTTCTGTTCCGCGGGAAGCCCACGCGGAAGGGCTGCATCATACGATGGATCTGCAGCTCTCCCGCTGTTGCTGCAGGATCCGGCGTAACAGCTCCCCCATCTGGGCTTACTCCGCCTCAGTTCTTCCGACGAGGACCAGGACCTTCCAGTAGTTGCGTCCTGAGAAAAAAGTGCATGCGTCATCCACCTGAGGGGCCTTGAGGGGGCCCTTCTAGGGACCAGAAGAGGCACGACAGGTGCACGTCTCTTCGCCCCCCCCACACGTATCGCCCCCCGCCCCCCTACGGTCAGGCATGCTTGGCTAGCTTGTCGCTCCGCCGGTTCTGGCCCGCCACGCCGCGTCGAGACACGCCATCCACTTCGCGCCGCCCCGCAGAGCGGCGATGGATGCGCTGCGCCCGCTGGCATGGCGCAGCGTGCCGCCGGGGCCGCCGCGGCGGCACGCTATAAGCCACAGTTCCCGACCGCATCGCCCCCCGCACGAAGCAGCGCCCAGGCGCGGAAGCGGACGGGGGCGTGGCGCAGCAGCGGGCCGCGCGCGATGGGGGGGGGCCGGCGGCAGCGGGCGGCGTGGCCTCCAGGGCGGGCGAGGCTGGCCCGGCGCGCGGAGAGGCGTCGGTGGGCGTCCTCCCCTCCGGCCTTGGTCGGCCGTTGTGGCCCAAGCCGTGGGCCCCCTCCGTCCAGAGGAGGGGGAGGCAGAGGACGGGAGGCCGCGCAGTGGTGAGGGGGCGACAGAAGGAGGGGAGGGCAGCAAGGGCTGCCGAAACGGGGCCCTCTGGAGCCCCGAGAAGGCACCCTCTGGGCCCCAAAGGAGGCCTGGAGGGGCCGAAAAGGGCACCTTTATTCTTCCCTCCCATGTATCGCCCCATTATTTCACACGCGAGGAGGAGGGGGGGGGATGAGGAAGAAGAGGAGGAGGAGGAGGAAGAGGAGGGGGGGAGGAGGAAGAGGAGGAGGGGGGGAGGAGGAAGAGGAGGGGGGGTGGAGGAGGGAAGCGGCATCCTGAAGGCAGGCCTCATCAATCTTGTCATTCGCGTGGGTCTCCCTCTGTCGGTCGCCCTGGACAGAATCCTGGGCGGTGCCCGGAGGTGAAGCCTCTCTACCGTGATTCCGACGATCCTTCCCTTAACCTTGCGTGAGCACTTCGGCACCACGAGGACCTGACCTGAGCTCTCCCGCAAAGAGAATAAGCCAGATCCGTGACGCACATGTTCCTCTCGCAGTCACAAGTGCATCAAAACATGCACCAAGCAAGCCCAGACTCATTGGAGGGCCAACCTGCCCGAGGCGAGCACACACGCGAAATTTAGGCCTGCGAAGGAACAAGGCAAAGTAAAGAACTCCGCAGATTCAGGGGGTGCATGGCGCATTTATCGGGGGAGGGGGGCGGCCAGCGATGCAGGGGGAAGCACTTTGCGTCTGTGCTGTCTTCTCGCGAGCACTGCTACTTTCGCCCGGCGAGGAGACGAGCTCGCCCGGCACACCACTCTCACCTGGGACGCATTCCAGCGTCAAAACTCGGCGACTGGGGGGCTCCGAAGGGCACCGGGTCCACCATCCTCCGTCGCCTCCTATAGGCGATTCGCAGAAGCGGCAAGGCGAAAGGGAACGTTAAACAGCAGTATATGGTCCAGGGCTTGGGCCCCCCCCCCCATGCTGATGCCATTGGCCCCCCCCCCCGCGCGTTGGTCCCACCCGCCCTCCCCTGTGGGCGTGGCGTGGTGCTGCGCTGCGGTGCCCCCCCCCCTGTGGATGTGGTGTGGTGCTGTGGTGGTTCAGAAGTGGGCGTGGCGTGGTGCTGCGCTGCGGTGCCCCCCTCCCCCCCCCTGTGGATGTGGTGTGGTGCTGTGGTGGTTCAGAGGTCGTCGTCGTCGTCGTCCTCGTCCTCGTCCTCGTCGTCATCGTCGTCGTCGTCGTCATCGTCGCCGTCGTCATCGTCATTGTCGTCGTCCTCGTCGTCCTCGTCGTCATCGTCGTCGTCGTCGTCGTCGTCGTCGTCGTCATCGTCGTTGTCGCCGTCGTCATCGTCGTCGTCGTCGCCGTCGTCGTCGTCGTCGTCATCGTCGTTGTCGCCGTCGTCATCGTCGTCATCGTCGTCGTCGCCGCCGCCGCTGCCGGCGTCGTCGCCGCCGCAGCCGTCGTCGTCGTCGTCGTGGTCGTCGTCGTCGTTGTCGTCGCCGTCGTCGTAGTCGTCGCCGTCGTCGTCGTCGCCGTCGTCGTCGTCGTCGTCGTCGTCGTCGTCCTCGTCGTCCTCGTCGTCATCGTCGTCGTCGTCATCGTCGTCGTCGTCATCGTCGTTGTCGCCGTCGTCATCGTCGTCATCGTCGTCGTCGCCGCCGCCGCCGGCGTCGTCGCCGCCGCAGCCGTCGTCGTCGTCGTGGTCGTCGTCGTCGTTGTCGTCGCCGTCGTCGTAGTCGTCGCCGTCGTCGTCGTCGCCGTCGTCGTCGTCGTCGTCGTCTCTGGGACCATACCATCTGGGGGGGGGGGGCCAAGGAATCCTGGGACCATACCATCTGGGGGAGGGGGGGGGCGCCCGTGAACCCTCGACCCTGGATCATATATGTCTCCGCGTCGTTTACAGACATCCGGCTGATCCAGTTCTCGTTGATGCGTGGGCCCCGGAAGTCTGGACCATATAGGGCCGGTTTTTCGTCCCGAGTCGTTTCTTGACGCTCCCGAGGCCCAGCGATGGCCCCCCGAGGCCGAAAGGGACCCCAGACCGCCTGTCCTGTATTTCTGCGGGGGCGCGTCGGAGCTCTGGGTTTCTGCCGACGCGCAACCTTACGCCGTGGGGGGGGGGGGCGCCGCGGTCACCGCAGGGCAAGCGTCAAGTCGGGCGTGTCCCTCCACGGGAGGAAGATCCAAAAAATGAATCAGGGAAGACTTGTTTGTTCAGTATTCGTTTGGTGTCTTTGAGTTATTTGGGGTACTTTTCCCCAATCAGTGCTTGCACTGATTGGGTCCTAGCGGAAATTGAAGAGTTTGGCGAAAGGTTCCCGCTGAGTTTGTCCAGTTCCAGGTTCCCGGGGTCCTGGTTATTGGTTCCAGGCCGATTTCGGTGGTCTCCGAGCTTTCGTCCAAAATCCGCCTGTAGGATTAAGTCGGGCCTGTCCCTCTACAGGGGAAATATTTAAAAATAGTAAAAAAATAGTCTGGGGACGATTTTTGGAAGCATTTTTAGGCTATTTCTTAAGTATTCGACCCTGAGATCCGACGCTCCAACAAAAATTGGAGCAGGCGGTTTTTGGCAGTTCTCGGCCTCCAGGGGCCCTCGCCGGGCCTCGGGAGCGCCAAAAAAGTATTCAGGACGAAAAACCGGTCCTGGGGAATTGGTCCAGACCTACTGGGTCCACGCACCAACAAGAATTGGAGCAGTCGGATGTTTGGGGACAGGCCCGACCTAAGTGTAGGATTCAGTCGGGCCTGTCCCTCTACAGGAGGAATATTCCAAAATAGTCAAAAAGTAGTCCGGGGTTTATTTGTTGAGCATATTTTGACCATCTTTTGAATATTGTTTGGGGTATTTGTGAATTGTTCGTCGAGAATCCCCCGTGTAGGGGGACAGGCCCGACCCAACCGTAGGAGGACACGCCCGACCTCTGAGGCAGGCGGCGCCCCCGCGGGGGGCGGTGGGCCTGGCCGTGGCCCCGCCACGCCGCGGCGCCCCGCGGGGCGCCGTGTGCCCCCGGAAGGGCCCCGGGGCGCCGGGCGTCGGCCGCGGTTTTTCGAGCAGTGGCGAAGCGTCGACTATAGACGTAAGAGTGGTCTTTCGCCGGACTGACCTTTGGCCTTTGGTGCGGGCATAAGTTGGTCCCCGGCTCGCCGAGCGCGATGCAGTGGCAGCGTCTTGCGCGGTTGTGTTTGCTCCCCCAGCGGCCCCCCCAAAGCCGCGCACCAAAGGTCACTCTTACCCAGGGTCACTCCTGTGTGTAGCCGAAAGCGTCCTGGCTCGCCCATAGCCCTGCCAAACAATGTTCTGAGAACCTTCTGAGGTTTCCACGAACTGTTCTTTAGAACGTTTCTGGCTGGGGCTGTCTCGTTTTAGCACATGGGGTTTTAAGTTTTAAGAGCAGTGTTTTTGCCCTTGGAACATGTTTGGCTTCTAAGAACACTTCACGGTAGGACTATAGGAATGCCGGCACGGTCGTCGGTCCCTGCTCAAGGTCTGCTGCCGCGGGGCCGGCGCCGCCCACTCTCTTGGGGGCGCGTGTCGAGAGACCCAGACACGATCGCGCCGTGAACCAACAAAAAACAAAAGTCGGGACGGGAGGTTTTGGGCCAGGGGCGGCCCCTGCATGGGAGCGCCAGGAAACGGCTCAGGACGAGAGACCGGTCCCGGGGAAAGGGTCGGGACTGCCAGGGGCCCCGCAGTGAAGCAATCAGGACGTCGCGCATGTCTGGGGGGCAAGCGGCGCGGCGGCATCGGCACTTTCGTCGAGCAGTGGCGGAGCGTCCAGGCTCGCCGGTACAGGCCCACCACAGGATGTTCTAAGAGCCTCTGCACGAGACGTTCGCAGAACATGTGCTTGGCTGCGACCGTCGTGTTTTCACGCATCGGGTTTATGTCCTCAGAGCACTGCTTCGTTCTGAGAACATCATCTGGGTTCTAAGAACATGCCGTAGAACACTTTGGGCTTCCAATGCCATGTCGTGGTAGGCCTACAGGAATGCCAGGGCGGTCGGTCCCTGCTCAAGTCTGGAGAGGTCCGCGAGCATTTCTTGCACGGGCGCCCGGGTCCCATGGCGGCGCCTCCGACGCCACCCCCGCGAGCTCCGTGCGCCGTGGGAGAGATGGGGGGGGGGGCCGGCGCTCCGCGCAGGCCCCTGCAGGAAGCTCCTGCGCGAGACAGCTTGTAGTCTTGGTCCCCTTGCGATCACGGGCGTGGCCGGGGGGGAGGTCGACAAGGGGCCCAGAGATCCGGCGCTCCAAGGAAAATGGAGCAGGCGGTTTGGGGCCAGTTTCGGCTTCTGGGGGCCCTCGCCGGGCCTCGGGAGCGCTGCACCGGGGGGCCTCTGGGGGCCCTCGCCGATCCATCGGCGTTGCACCGTCGGCTCCAGGTCAGCATCTTCCCCCCTGAGCCCGACCCACCCCACTTCGGTTCCCCCCTCGCCCATGGTGCCAGAGGAGGGCGGTGGAGAGCGGATGAGGGAGGAGGAGGAGGAGGAGGAGGAGGAGGAGGAGGAGGAGGAGGAGGAGGAGGAGGAGGAGGAGGAGGAGGAGGAGGAGGAGGAGGGGAGGAGGGGAGGGGGGAGGGGGAGGGGATCAGAGGGCCACGATCGACGATCCTTCCAGCCATCAGGAACAGGAGCAGGGGAAGGAGGAGTGAGGGGAGGGAATGGGAGGAGGAGGAGGAGGGAGGAGGAGGAGGAGGAGAGGAGGAGGGAGGAGGAGGAGGGAGGAGGAGAAGGAGGAGGAGGAGGAGGAGGAGGAGGAGGAGGAGGAGGAGGGTAGGAGGAGGATGAGGAGGAGGAGGAGGAGAGAGGAGGAGGAGGAGGAGAGGAGGGGAGGAGGAGGAGGAGGAGGAGGAGGGGAGGAGGAGAGGAGGGGGGGAGGGGGGGAGGGGGGAGGGGAGGGGGATCAGAGGGCCACGATCGACGATCCTTCCAGCCATCAGGAACAGGAGCAGGGGAAGGAGGAGTGAGGGGGAGGGAATGGGAGGAGGAGGAGGACGAGAGGAGGAGAGGAGGAGCAGGAGGAGGAGCAGGAGGAGGAGGGGGAGGAGGAGCAGGAGGAGGAAGAGGAGGAGGAGGAGGAGGAGGAGGAGAGAGGAGGAGGAGGAGGAGGAGGGGGAGGGGGAGGGGGAGGGGGAGGGGGATCAGAGGGCCACGATCGACGATCCTTCCAGCCATCAGGAACAGGAGCAGGGGAAGGAGGAGTGAGGGGGAGGGAATGGGAGGAGGAGGAGGAGGAGGAGGACGAGGAGGAGGAGGAGGAGGAGCAGGAGGAGGAGCAGGAGGAGGAGGGAGGGGGAGGAGCAGGAGGAGGAGGAGGAGGAGGAGGAGGAGGAGGAGGAGGAGGAGGAGGGATCCCTGGAACAAATCTTCGCTATCGAGCCTTCTGAGGGAGGCGGCAGGCCGGTCCTCAGTGGGCCGCGCTCCCCAGCCCAGCCCCTCGGGCTCCACGTCGGTCCGTTCGGTCCGCTTCGACATCGGTTCCCGAGGGAGGAGGACTTACGTCGGGCGTGCCCCTGTACAGGAGGAATATTCAAAATAGGCAAACAATAGTCTTGGGACGATGTGTTTTTTTTTGAAGCATGACTATTTGTGAATATGTGTTGAGCCTTGTTTGATCTTTCGTCCAAGATCCTTCTGTAGGGGGACATGCCCGACCTAAAGCAAGACGGCAGAGAGAGAGAGAGAGAGCGCTGCAGTCGAGCATCTGATTAACAAGGCCTCCCGCGAAGCGGGGCCAGCGTTTCCTAGCCCTCGTTGCCGGATAACTGGCCCAGTTTCTTGAGCGCGTTCGCCCCTCCAGCTTTTGCAACAGAAATTGCCCCAAGCGTGTTTTCATACACGTCCGT